TTATGTGGTGCATCTACACCCAGCCTCCTAAAAAGGCTCTGGACTATGTTCAAGATCATTCTTCTGGTGTTTCCAATGAGGTAAAAACAAATTATTCTCATTTTTCGGATTCTATCTTGCAAGGTGCTACTGTTAATCAGCACAACTGTGCCATACAATTCGCTATGGTTGCTGAGCTGATTCTGGAAATCAAGCTTCATATCATTGTATTGTATTATCCAGTGTCTTTGCCTAGACATCATTTATGACAAAGTTGTGGTTTATTTCCGAACTCCAAGTCAGGAATGATTCCAGCTATAACCTCCTTCAGTTAAACTACTCAGAGAAGGACTGTCATGATGACACACACCTGTTATCCCAGATACCCTGGAGGCCTGGAGGCCAAAGCAGGATGATCACAAGTTCAAGGCCAACCTGGGAAACTTACCAAGACTTTGTATCAAAATAGAAAACCAAAAAGAGTTGGGGATGCAGGACTGCAATCCCTATATTCAGTCTCTAGTAACACAACAAACCTAAAGATCATTGTAGCTTTAGTATTCTGCAACATAAAGCTTACATATGAAAAATATTGGTCTTAGAGCTTATATGACCTCTCTGTTTTTATTAGGCTTGAGTAAAATGCTATTAGGTCTTTCAAAGATTTGTTTTTATCATGATGAGAGACATAGAATAAAGGTATGGGTTCTTAGATAATCAGATGCTTATATTCCACATATTCATAAAATTTATTTTTATTTTCCTTTTTTTAATACTTGTAATTTTTAGATTAGACAAAAATAGACCTGAAAAATACCTGACATGTGTGTTGCAGCTCCCCAATACCAAGTCCTCGACAGACATTAGTAAATCTGTAATCCATAAACATATCGTGTTTGTCATATGAGATGAAAGTCTCTTGAAATCACTAGTTAAGAATGTTTTGAAGACCAGGGAGATAGTTCAGGAGAATAAGTGCTTGCCTGGCAAGTGCAAGGGCCTGAGTTCAATCCCCAGTTTCATAAAAAAAAAAAAATTAAATTTAAAAAACTTTGATAATCACCTGGGTGAAATGTTTATGCCACACAATGTAAATTTGAATTATGTTAAAAGATCATGAAAGATGCAAATGTAATCCTAAATTCAATCTCTTTTAACCTTGTTCCCTGCAAAGAAAAACAGAAAAGTTTATTGTAGAAAGCAAATAAGCAACTCATTGCAAGATGCAAGCAAAACTGGCGCTACTTTGCCAACGATCACCCATACAGAGGCCTCTGGTGAGAGAGTGCTCTTAGGAGCAACTAGGATGAAAGCAAATGAAACAAGATGATTTTTGCACAGATCTTGCTTTGTGGTCTTAATACAGCTCTTAATGAAGAACTTGCATATACTAAAATGTTCCAATTAAATAAGTGAAACTACAAAGACAAAACTAATAAAAAGCATAGGCCTCGGTATGTACTACTGACACGTACTGATGATTGCTGCAATTGCAGGGAGAGTGTCAAAAGGAAACACCCAAGATGTTAGAGCTTTTGCTAATTTCTAATTATTTCCCAGGTAATAAGCATTAAAATGTGTGTTACAAAAGGTAAGTGAATAAAACAGTTACATACCAAATAAAAAGTTAAATGGAATAACATTTTAAAATATAAAATTCAGTCATTTAACATTGTGAGATACAGAATTTGTTCCCAAGACTTATGTTTGAAACTAGGCATGTACTGTGAACAAAATTAAATAAAATAAGCCATATATATGCCATTCATTATATTACCTTCATATATAAAGAAATATTATTATTTCAACTTGTGAACAACCCAAAGAGGTATTTTGAAATAAAATTTGGTCAGATATTTTGGTTAGATGCCTTTAGGATCTTTTTAAAATCATGCCTCACTGAATACTTGAACTCCAGAAAGCACTATACCCAACTCATTCATCTTCCAGTTGAGGAAAGTAGAGTAACAATGTTAAGAAATATGTTCAAAATCATCTATTAAGGTGGTAACCAAAAAAAGTAAAACAATAATCTCTTACTTTCACTTCAGCACTGTTTTCTTTATGTACACTTTTTACCACTTCAAAGAGATGTGATTAGTGCTCAAACCTTTCACAAATTAATCGCTTAATACTTTTTTGTTAACTATTCAACTAATGTGAAATGAGTTCTGATAATTAGCATTACACATTATTGGGCACAAAAACAAAAGAAACCTAATTCTGTGCATTCTGTAATATCATGGTAGTGGTAAAAATAAATTGCATAAAAAAGCACTTTGCCAGGTTTTTGGTTTTTTTGTTTGCTTGTTTTTGTTTGTTTGTTGTTGTTGTTGTTTTTTGGTGGAACTGGGGATTGAACTCAGGTCCTTGCACTTGCCAAGCAAGCTCTTATTCTACTGAGCCACCTCCCTGGCCCCTTAAAAAAGCACTTTGCTAGTAAACTATCTCCCATTATCTCTCGGGATTGGGAAGGGTATAGCATGATTTAATAGCACATTAATTATGTTAGTGTTTTAAGATCATGGTTTTTCAGAGTATATGAAGACACTCCAAAAAGTATCAGGATTCTGGCTTTAGTAACCATTTTATAACATTTCTGATAAGAGTGTAATTGATTAGGCATTATCTTAGTAACTATTTATCAAGTATATATCATATATCATCAAAAGCTACTTTTTAGTCCATAAATATAAATGAGAAACTGGTATTAATGAAGAATAGTTCAGAATTTTGAAGCAAAGTTTAATCACATGATTACTTAACAAAAAGTGATTTACTTTCCATGCCTTATTCTAATAATCTAGTAGGCATGTTGAAATAATAGTGATGTGTAATTACTTATGGTATCTCGATAGGTAAGATGAGTTGTTAGAGCTTATTTGAAATTTCTGGGAACAATTCCATTTCAAAATGGATATTATTCTTATAAATATTGGACCTCTTTTTTTCTTAGTTATCTCTATACATTTTACTGTTAACACTAATCTTCCATATATATATATATATATATATATATGTTCAAAAATTGGCTTTATCTTATTTTGGATGTGAAAACCAGTACTAGAAAGAATAATCATAGTTTCTTGAACTAACTTTAAAATGCAATTAATATTCAGTTCTTATACTGTTTCATTTCATATTACAATATTGTTTAGGCTCATCATAATCTGGCAGTTCAAAATTTCTAATCTCTGGAATGTTCTAAGGCTATTCTGAATTTGTCTCTTTCTGTGAGTAGGGTGTGTCCCTTATTGTTAGGGTGCCCCAAGAAATCCATGACCCACACAGACAGCAATGCTCTGAGACTCTTAGTACTGCTCTTCTGCAAATATATAGAACAGTTTCTAAATTGTAACCTGTTGGAGGGTGGGGTTTTTTGATTTGTTTGTTTGTTTGGTTGGTTGGTTGGTTGATTGGATTTTTACTGTTTGCAATCTTCTTTAGTGTTTTTCTATCTTTCTGGTATCCAAGTAAGAGCTCAATTTAAAATAACCATATAAGGTTATGAGAATAACAAATTGTAATTTTTCTAATTTTATATTATTGAGAACCTAGGATTCTATGTATTTAGTCTAAAAGGAATTGCGACATTCTCATGCTGAGATAAGTCTTTGTCTGTTGCTGGATAATATTCCATTCTTAGTAAGTAAAATAGAATTAAGTGAAAATATTAAGTTACTAGAAGTGACTTTAGACCTCTGCATAGGAGACATGTCAAATTGATCTACCTAAAGAATTGCAAAGTTGCGCACCAATGCTTTTCTTAGTTAATTGCTAACAATTTATCAATTAATAGAAAATACTGCTTTTATGGCTGACATTTTTAAACTTCCATGCAAACAATTATTCTCAAACTAGTCCTTCAGTTTTCAGTCAAACTGAAGCTTATCTAGGACGATGAATTGAGCATCAGTGGCGACCGCAGCCATATCTAAGCCATCATACATTTCCTGTGCATGCTCACGTCGTGTCGCTGCCACTGTTATCCCGCACTGCACCTCTAATAGTCAGCAGTTCAACACTGATCCTCTCCTGCCTTTTAGATTATGTAGTATTTGTCCCAGTCAATGGACACGAAGAATTAAAGCTCCCTGTCTTTTCTTTCTGCTTTAGTTTTAAAGTATACTGTTCAGACTAAAGGAAAACGCTTAATATACACTTTTTAAGAGTTATAATTCTATTCTTTAAGTCATTCACTTTAAACTAATCCTAAACTCACAGTATTTGGAATTTATAAATCTACACATGATTGAAATCTTAAGTAGTTTGTTTCCAAATGAAATTCTGTGGGTTTATTAAAATTTTATCCTTATGTTGACAAAGATAATGTATCTTAAGTTCTGCTTACATGTTATATTTTAAAGATAACACTTGGCAATGTCAAAAGAAAATCATGAAGAGTTATGGTTTATAAGGATTGACCTGTGGCTGCAAATATTCTTTTAAAACCCTTCCTTAAAATAAGAAGTTTCTTACAGTTTGTCAGTAGCCAAGGTTCACAAGTTAACACTGTGGAGGTCAGCTCCTTATTTGATTTTTCGTCCCTGAGAAACATTACTAATTTTTATTATCTCCCCATAAATTTAATGCTTGGGTTGTAGATAATTTTAACCAGGGATTGAACTCAGTCCCTTGTGCTTGCCAGGGAAGCACTTATTCTACTGAGCCATTTCCCCAGGCCCTTGTTGATAATTTAAGTTACCCAGAGTAATGCAAGACAGTACATCATAGGGCAGGGGAGATAGCTCAGTAGAATAAATGCTTGCCTGGCAAGCGCAGGGTCCTGAGTTCAATCCCCAGTACTGCACAACAATAACAAAAAAAGACAGTACATCAGAGAAAGTAGATAAATGGAAGTCAGGTTGCCTAATTTCTTCCTCTTTGGGAAGATATTTTTCTAATTATAATAAATGGTACTCCCAATCTCAATAGTTATAATATCCTTTCAAAATAGTTTAATGCTGCTAGACAAAGTCTGTTACTGTAATTTTCATGAAGCTATTATTCTGTCTTAACAGGCTTCCATATATCAGTCCTCCATAGACAGAAGCCTGGAGAGGCCCAGCAGGTAAAAACATCCTTACTTTATACAATATATGACCAGAAGAGTCTATACTGATAATTTTCAGTTATTATATTGTTCAGTGAAATGGTGAAGGTTATATATCACTCATGTTAAGTACTATTTCTCATGAAGTTGTCTTATTTTTCTGCATCATTGTATATTA